CCACCCGTGCCGTACGCTCCGTCCCAAAAGTTCATTCTCACCATCCCCGATCCTGACATCTTCAGCCCTGCCAACATCTCCAATCTGGGTGGCGACCTTCAACGTCGAATGTCTCATCTCGAACTCTCAACCGCCGCCCGTCCTCGGATCTCCCGCTCCACCTTCCTTGGCTCATCTCAACGTGCATCTTCCCCCTCTCGCAATGAACCACCCGCGCTCATCTCTCGTCGCTCTGCCACCGGTTTCGATCCATTCGCACTCTTCAAAAAACGGGCTGTCTCTGGGCCGATGATGTCCTACGCAAACTCGCAAACTCAAACCGCTAAGGATGATCCATTGGCAATCCTAAGAAAGATGTCCTTGGAAGTGTTGACATGCTTGAAGGATATCGAGCACAAATTCAGGATTCCTGGTTCAGCAACACCGATGGATAACCAAGAGTTTTCGATCTTCCAATCCTCCGATCAGCATCAGAGAACCAGTCCCCCTCAACAACACAGCCTGGCTGAGACAAAGATAGTAGAGCAGGACGAAGATAATTCAGAAGGCTCGCTGATCCTACCTAGTATGAGCTGGGAGTACCGACAGGATGTCAGTCTGGAAGAAGTGCGTAAAGAGGCACTGGTCGTCAAAGAGTGGCTAGAATGTGTGGACGGGATCCTTGAGGGAATGAAGATCATCACTGGAAGTCGAAGGAAGAAGAGCCATCTGGGTGTCAAAAATCAGCCGACGAACATGAAGAAGAAATCGGGAATCGTCAAAGATCGAAACGTGTTCAAGAAGATCATCAACTCATCCAAATTCTCGACAAGCAATAATGCCGAGATGAAAGTGCCGGATATCTCACTAGATGATGGGACGATGACGGAGGATGAGAGTTACTCAGAGATGGAAGATGAAGAGGATAGCGAGGAGTTATTGCCCGATTGGGCCCGCAACGATCGCTTCCTAATCAAGTCTAGCAGAACCGATGATCAGGGTAATCCGATCGATGGCCTGGAGAACGATCCACTTGGGAGATTGTTTAGCTGTCTAGTTAGTCATCTGCCCCATGAACTCCTCTCGCATCTTGTCCCGCCTCATGGGGAATTTGGATCGAGAATCGGCTTCCTGGACTCCCTGTCGTGAGTAATTAAGTCTGGTCACTCATCAAAACAAGACAGAGAGATTGATGATCGGCCTCTTGGCAAAAAAAAACATGACAAAACAAAACAAATCAAAAGAGATGGAACATTACTATGTTTAGCGTACAACACAGTCCTCCGAAAGTCGCAGCGACCGTGGGGGTTTATCCCTGTCGAGAGTATCCACAACCTAGTGACGCTGACGGGCGGGAAGGGGAGTAGTGGAGGGGGAGGAAGTACGTCGATGGTGATGTCGCCGGAGATGGGTAGTGAGCGGTCGTTAAGCAAGTCGAGCATGGGCGCGATCGACGAGCAGGAGTCGGTGGATGGGGAGGACCGTCTCCGGAGCCCGGGCTCCTTCGGCGTCCATTCCCGATTCCCTACCCATACCGGCTCGGATTCATCCTTTTCGACCCCCTTCTCTCCCTCGATCTCCGGCGATTCTGTCGCCTCTTCTTCTCACACCGCCACTCAATCTAACCCTAACCATCTCAAGGTCGGCCTCACGTTTCGGAGGATGGAGAATATTAAGGTTTGGGCCGCGTTAGTCGAGCTCCTCTTCTTTTCGTATTCATTCTATCCCGTTCACTATGGTTTTATCTCATCACATTATGATTTTCGTTTCGAATTTTCTAGGGCATTGAAATTACGATACTTAATCAAAGGCGAGATCCCGCTACCGAAGACGAAAACATTCGACCAAAGCACCCCGCCCAACAGCCAACCACATGACCCAACCAGTCCCCCCAATCCGACTATTATCACCGCTACCAATACCAATAATAATAGTAATACTAGTCATGATTCTGGATCTATCGTCAAGTTCGATCCTAAGATGATCGCTAAAAAGTCCGACGGTTGGGATCTGGCGTTGGTTTATATGGCCTCTAAATGGCTTGACTCGATCAAGGCTGAGAAACGCGAAGAAGTCTTGTTTTCTAAATGATCTCTTGCTTTCCTCTTATATCTTCCTCATAACAATTCACATTTCCTTCTTCTCGTCATCCTCTCTTTTTTTTTCTACGCTTTTTCTATGTTCGTTATTTCCGTTCTCGTGACCTCGTCTTCATTTTTTTTTAGTTAATCTTCTAACGAGCTTTCTTCATTTTTATAATCTCTCGTCTAAATTTCTGTCGGTCTCATGAATTTTCTTCTTTTTGTTCTTTCGTTCGTCTGTCCTCGTCTTTTCCCGCTCTTTTTTTCAAAAAAAAAAAAAAAAACTTTTAAAATCCATGTGAAGCATATAAACATAAATAGAAAGAAGGGGTGATGGGGATCGTTGATACAATATATAGAATCGTTGTGTGAGAAGTTGATTACTAGGATAAAAATGTATATAAATGTTTGTAAATATGTAGTGTGGTCTTTGTTTTGATTTTTGGCTTTGGCTTGGCATGGATCTCCTTAATTAACTTGATTCCATATCTTCATTTCTACACTTGTTTGGTTTTGTTTCCTCTTCTCTTTTTGTTATCTCCTCTTCAACCAAAAGTACAATACATCCTTTGATAATTCACATTGGATGATGATGATGATGTTGTTGTTGTTATAATAATCAAGAATGACAAACATGTTTAACTCTTTTTTGTTGATAACAACTTATTAGTTCAACCTGGCATCTTTGGTCTTCAAATAAGTTGATCATGATGAAGGGATTTCTTCATTCTTCATTCTAATAGCGTGATAATTGAAGCAACTGAAGGAAGCTGATGATGAATGTGATTGCAGGTGGTGGTTGTGTGGTTTGTTGGTTGACCATCCATTGTGTGATTCTGACTGAGTGGGCTTGAGAGTAGCCCCTTTGAGTCTGAGTCTGACTTCAACAGCAACAAGAACTGGCCGATAACCACCACCAAGAACCACCAAGAACCAACAAAACCAACTCCAAAAAAAAGAATAATAATATGATGTCATCTTCCAACAAACGAAACTTGCCCCATCAAACCATCCAACACAACACCACCAACCGATCATCCAAAGTCAAACCAACCAAACGACACGGTGAACCAGCCATCGACACCTGGTCAAGGCTATCAAAGGCAATCACCGAGATCCTCAACCACAATGCATCCAAACTATCATTCGAAGAACAGTTGAGTCATCATCATCATCATCATCATCATCAACTGAGAAGAATCTTTTCTAAAAATTCCCATCTTGCAATACAGCTATCGATATGCCTACAACATGGTACTCTACAAGCAGGGCACAAAACTATTCGTTGGGGTTCGTGACCTGGTAGCACACCATTTGGACGAACAAGCCACCAGGCAGATCGAGCCAAACTTCCCCTCACGAACCAACCCCACAACAAACCTATTATCTCAAACACTACCAACCACAACCACAACCACAACCACCGGAAAGGGCAAGGAGAAAGCTGTAGATGACTCGGATCTATCACCACCATCATCGTCATCAAACCAAACGGCTCATCAGCTCCCCCTCGTCAATGGTTCTGCTTCTGAAAGACTGAGCGTCATCCAATCCCAAGAGCGTTTCTTGAAATCCGTCCGTGAAGTCTGGGATGATCATGTAGCATGCATGAAAAAGCTACGTGATGTACTCAAGTACATGGTATGTCTCCTACTCCCCTCTTTTTTGGAAGAAATCGTTCAAATCATAATCCTGATTTCTACCCTTGTTCTTACAGGATAAAGTTTATACGACTACCCCTGGAAATGGATATGATTCAATGCCGACGGTCTGGGACCTAGGCCTCTACATCTTCCTCACCCACATCATTCGATCACCGAAATACCCAATCTCGTCACTCCTGATCAGTGGGATCATCACCCTCATCACCTCCGACCGACTGGGCGATACCATCAACTCATCCGTCATCCGCTCAGCAACTGAGATGCTCACCGACCTCTCAAATCATTCCCCTGAGATCATCAAACGGATCGATGATCAGAACGGCGGTAACGGCGGGGGTGAGGTCGGACAGAGTATCTATAAGACCGACTTCGAACCCGTCTTCCTCCTACATAGCCGCGAATTCTATCGTGAGGAGGGCAACCGATTGTTAAGCAATGATAATGCTGCCCAGTATCTCCTGAAGGTAATCTGCCTTTCATATCTTCACACTCATCTTTCTGTTTTTCCTTAAAATTGACGTTGCCATCATTTTCCACCCAAACACTCACTTTTTTAACCAAGGTCGAAAAGCGGCTGATCGAAGAAGATATTCGATCACAATCCTATCTCCATGAAACAACGGAAAAGAAGCTAACACAAATCTTGAATGAAGAGCTCATCAAGTCACACGTCCAAGATATCCTCCATCACCCCTCATGCGGCTTGAAGGAACTGATTCACAACGACTGTCGAAGTGATCTGAAGCGGCTCTACCAGTTGTTCTGTCGCCTGGACGTCGATGATGGACTTCAGCTCTTGAAAGAAGGCATTCGAGATTGGATCAAGGAGCGTGGCCAGCAGATCAACGATGGCACCGCCCCGCCGGCCTTGTTCTCACAAGCTGGAGGCGGCCCAGCAACGAGTGCCAATCCAAGTACCGAGACTGCCTCTACCGGTGCCGCACCTGGGAACAGCGCCGCTCTCCAATGGGTCACTAATGTCATCCAGCTCCGCGACAAATTCATCGGCCTCCTCAACGACAGCTTTGACTCTCACATCCTCCTCCAAACTTGCATCGACGAAGGCTTCAGCGGGTTCATCAACTCTAATAAACGCTCCGCCGAATTTATCAGCTTGTTTATCGATGACAAACTCAAGAAAGGCCTTAAAGGAGTTCGTCCTCCTCTTCACAATAAACATATTTTGACTGATTGATTGATTGACCTCTTTCTCTTTTTTTTGATACATATTTATTCCGAGTAGAAGACTGAAGAAGAGATTGAAGAACAACTGGACAAGACGATTGCATTATACAGACATTTGAATGAGAAGGACATGTTTGAGAAATACTACAAGAACCATTTAGCCAAGCGCTTATTATTCGGCAAATCGGTCTCAGAAGATACCGAGCGAAACATGTTGAGTAAGTTGAAGATCGAGTCGGGTAGTGCGTTCACTCGAGACTCGGAGGGGATGTTGAAAGATTTGAAGATGTCGAACGAGATGGCCAAGCTTTTCAAGGATTGGTGTCAGAAGAACCATCCGGTTAGTGCCATGCGTTTCTCTTTTTTTCAAGACGATGAGTTGACTAAGAAGTAAAATCATGTGGGGTATCTCACAGGGAATTCAGCTGGATCTGTCGGTGACCGTGGGATCCTCGTCGATGTGGCCGATGTCTCAAGCCAACCAGATGAACTACCATCCGTCGACGGGTGGCTCTTCCTCGTCGGGCACTCCGGGGAACCGGTCGGCTTGCATTATCCCCAAGGTGCTCGAGGATGCTATCAAGGTCTACGAACGTTTCTATGCTACCCGCCATTCTGGTAGACGGCTCAATTGGCACACCGAATTGGGCAACATGGAGATCAAGATCAGGTTCAAGAAATCTACACATGAACTCTCCGTCTCTACTTTTGCTGGCATCGTTCTCTTGCTCTTTGATGGCCAGGATGAGAATCGGAAATTGAGTTATGAAGTGAGTGCCTGCCACCTCCATCAAGTGATTATTTTTGATAATCGACCGATAAATGCAGTGACTCTCAAGCTGATGTATGTTTGCTTTTTTTTTGTTGGATGGATGGATGGGAATATCTAGGAGATCAAGACGGCGACGATGATCACAGATATGGAGCTGAAACGGACGCTGCAATCGTTAGCCTGTGCGAAATATAAGATCCTCACCAAGGAGCCACGCTCCAAGGAGATCAACGAGAAGCTCGACACGTTCCGGTTCAACGATGGGTTCACGAACCCGATGAGTAGGATCAAGATCCAGACGGTCACCAATAAGGTCGAGAACAAGCTCGAGCTCAAGGAGACTAGCGACCGGGTCGAAGAAGACCGACGACTTCACACCGAGGTTTGTGCCCCTCCCCCCTCCTCCTTCATCACCAAAGATTTGAAAGTTGAATGGCTTATTTGCTTCTTGTCTATTACCACATACATAGGCTTGTATCGTCAGAGTGATGAAAACGAGACAGAGACTCGCGTACGTCGAGCTTAATGTCGAAGTGGTCAGCCAACTTAGCAGACGCTTCAAACCGACCCCCGTCGTCATCAAGACATCGATCGAGAAACTTATCGAGAAGGAGTATCTTATGAGAGACCCTCAGGATCGGAAAATCATCATCTATTTGGTCCGTCTTCTATCTACTTCTTGTTCTTTCAACAGACAACACTTTCTCCTCCTTTCCCCTTTTTTTTTCCGCGGTCTTGTTCTCGTTTTAATATCGGTTTATTGATGTGGAGCGGGGGTTTTCGGTTTTTTTGTTTTGGGTTTGGTTTGGTTTCCGGGGGGTCATGATGATGCTGGTGGTTGGGATTTAATGGGTGTATGTATATATACGGGGAAAAACAAACAGGCTTAACCTACTTAATCTGGATGATTGGTATTCAAATTATGGGACAGATTTGTGTCACATTTTTTTCTTCTCTTTTTTTTGTTTGATGTTCATATACATGTGTCTTTTTTTGAACCAAACACAAAAGAGTAAGTTGGAATTCTATATTTATGTTTTTTTTGTATGTGTATGGTTATTTGTCTAAGTGTGTGTGTGTGTGAGTGGTGGGAAACTTGATCATTAAAGAAAGAAAGATTGATTGATTGATAAGCCGATCAAGAAAATTTATTTATCTATTTACAATATGTTAGATATAATATCAACACACTTAATTAATTACTTGACCTAACTCTTCTTCATCTTTACTTAACTCGCCTCAATTCCTACCCACATAGACCACTTCTTCCTGTCCATTTCTTTTCTTTCTTTCATTCATTCAAATCCCTTTGATGATGATGATGATGATCATTCTCATTTGATTTCTCTTCCTCTTAGAAAGAAGGCTTTGGGGAAGATCAAACAATTGGTGATGTCTGCATGTGCGTCTTGGGTAATAAATACATGTCAGAAAGGCGGATAGATTTCCTTAACATGAGCAAAGTATTTAATCGAGAAGAAATGGACTGTATGTATTGCGACTATCATAAAGTGGGTACTTTATCATATGTAGCTTACAGAATCCTACGATTCTATCCAAGTCTTTCAAGCTTTTTCTGTTCGGGACCCTCAGGAATCCATATAACTAAAAAAACAGTTATATGTCATGATCTTATTTACTTACTTGGTACATAGGAAACTGCACATCCCCCTCCCCCCTTCAATTTCTTTTTCCAAGAAAAAAAAAAAAGGACCTACAAGTTCAAAGTTGGGGTTCAGGGTTGGCGGTTCTGGAGTCCACTCATCTCATTCTGTCTCCAGTCTTCAGGAATCAGTTCTCCTGATCACCATCCACAGCACCCTGTTAGCCACAGTGCTGAGTTCGACTTCTGTGTGGTCTAGAGTGGATTAGAACCAATCACTCTGCAGAATGTTTTTCATTTCTTCAGTCTTCACCCTTTATGTATGCTATCTTGAAACTCTCCATGTCCACTATTATTGCCCTCATAGTCATAGACCCGGGGCCGCATACATGTTTCTTCAATGACTGTTTCCCTTTCTCTTGTGCTGCTAATCTGGTTCTTTGACCTCCTTCCACAAGGAAACATGTACGATTATGACAAACAGCTGTTTCATTCACTTCGCGAGCTTTAGATTTGTCAGCCTCCTGATGTCCGGCGTTATGGATCAGCATGGCGGAGGGTTCTTGCACCACACGAGCACGGTGCAGGACTTCTTTCAAGTTCGCCAGAAATTGAGAGAGGTTTGAGGCTGTGACGTGGTGCCAGTGGTCCTTCGATACTTGAAACAGAACGGAATGAGGAAAAACTTTCATTTGGATGCATCATTTGGCTCACCTGAGCTTATGAAAGAGGTCACCAAACGTACCTTCGTTGCGGCAGATGAATCACGGCTGGATAACCTTGGTGAGTCGCCAAGACCGAAGGAGGTATTCCAGTGAACAACATGTATGCAATCGAAGCGCTCAAAAGACCCTAGATGTTGGTTGCTTGATTTGCAGAACTATTTCATGAAGGAAATGTGTTATGTCTTAATCAACTATTACTGATAATGACCATTTGGCTTGGGAAATTCTAAAATAGGTCTCCTCAAACTCGTAATCTTATCATTTTTTCGTTCATCATCCGACTTCGGTCACCAGGTGATGGGTGAGCTGTTTGTCATTGATGCATTGGCTCTAGGAGTCTATCTCCGTTGCCATCATGAGCCCTTTTCCTACTACCCACTGGCTCGAGGCCGCCAGTGTGATATAAGTATCTCTTGATTTCGTCTCTTTTATCAAGCTTGGCATTATTTTCTCTTCACCGGTCCTTCACAATGTCTTTATCCCGAGGAAATAGTGTTAGCAGAACGGCCAGTTTCGGGTACCTTTTGCTCCTTTTCTCTGATCTTGAAAGCCAAACTAACTTTCCATACTGTTTTACCTAGGAAATCTCATCCACAGACAAAAGCTCTCCAGGATTCTCAAGTACATCCAGCCCACCAAGTTCAAAAAACCAGAATTTCGAAATTTCTGTCATCAGTTCATAACCGCACATTGGTTCACCAAGCTGAGAAGCTCTTGAATTTCGAACATGGGGACTCTCCAAGCCCAAGCAGGTCTGAAGGCCCTCGATCGCAATTCAAACGGACGACGCTCAAACAGGCTGCTTCACTAGATTCCAATCCCACATCCCGGCTCAAGCGACAGTTATCTGAATGTTCGAAAGTCAGGAGACCTCTGGGTTGAGTCCGCTGCCGCTTGTTTACATTAAAAACTCTCAACTTAGGATGACACTGAAGGGAAAAAAGTGCCTTACTTTTTGTTTTTGCCTACAACTCTTAATAGATGCAACGCCGCTTGGACTCACAGAAACCTATGAAGAAGCTAAGCTGAATCTCCAGAGCTTAGCATCTGGTCACTCGTCAAATAATTTTCATCCCAGAGCGTTCACCTCCAAGCGGGCCACAGCTTCTTTACCTTATGTTACTCATCTGGTACCAAGAAGCATCTTGACTGAAAGCCTTCCGCAGAAACCAGCTGAGAATTATCTGTTCAAAGCTCTCCCGAGGCTACCAACTGAGGGACAACTTGCTCAATCAGAATGGACGACTGACCTAGGCCGGTCGTCGTCTGCTCCCACTAGGGTTCGTTTCGCCGATCCTATGGTCCAGTACAATCCCACACCTGCAGCGCGTGAATCTTGCGAGTTCTCCCAATTCGAGCTCTCCAAGAATCCCCACACAAGTCGCAAAACTGACCTGATGGCATTCCCCAAAAGCTGCATTAAATCTACGGGCCAATACCACCAAGTGCAAGGAAAACATTCTCTTTCCGCAAAGCGCACCGATAGTTCACCGCCGGCGAGGCTTTGTGATTCTCCACTAGAAGAAGAATTTCGCGCCAGCATCAGTTTTATGTCTGAATTAATATTCCCAGAAGATCCTGACCAAGGCGCCGGCAGCGAACCTTCGGTAGCAGCTGGGGCCGGCGGCGCCAAAGGCTTGAGTTCAAAAGCCATTCCACTCTCGATCAGTAGCAACGTTGAGAAAGATGTTCGCTCACGATCTACTGATCATGAGCTTGAGCTCAGGAAACTCAAGCAATTCAAAGGAAGCATCAGAAACATGCCGAGTGGCCCAGCTCAGAGTGCACTGCCCATACCCGCGGGAGTTCTTCAATCATCATCGGCACCTTCCACACCGTCAAACCAAGGGTCGTATCAACCAAAGCAAGATAAACCCCTACATGTACCGAGTCAACTGGAGAACGAGTCTAGCCAATACGCAAACGACTATCGTGATAAGAATACTCCCAAGTTCTCTATGTCACCTAAAATTAAAAGAATTGAGGTCTCGAATCTCCAAGGCACGGCCACCCAACTCCAACAAGGAAGGAAAATATTACCGACGTCTGGGAAGGTAACAATAACAGGACGTAGTTGCCCTCTCGAGGGATCCAAGGGTTTCGCTCCGACTTATCCAAGCCAACCTCCCGGAAATAGGAAGCTGGATGCCATCCCCGACTTGCCGAGTCCAATCGTTGATGATCTTACTCAGTGTCGCCGGACGATAGTGACGCCTCAAGTCCAGACGGAAGAAACAAGAAACTTGGGCAAGAGATCCTTCCGAGAAAGGACAGACAGGAGCCCGACCGTTTCGCCTCAGCAAGTCTCGCCGTTGACGCTACCACCAAGGGGCTCAAGAAAGCAGTCCACTATCTGCCCAGATTCCCCATCCTGGAAAGAATCCCGCTCACCCTACAAGCGTTTGAAGGATCTTCAATCGGTTGGACGCACGGGACCGAGAGATATTAACACCATCGTTACCGGTGGCTCGGAAGGTCCTCGGTCCGACTTGGAACCGGGAGAGATTAGCCCTCGTTTTGACTCCGAGTATATGTTGAACACTGAGGTGTCTTTGGAAGATATAAAGGCAGATGCTCGATTTTCTAACCCACCCTCGGTCTCTTCAGAAGCTCCAAGCACCTCCAGTCGAACAGACTTTTCGCCGGTCCCTTCCCCACCAGCTCCGATTACGACAACACTGGAATCTTGGAGGCATGACCTTGCCCCTGCCAATCTTGGTGAGTTTTTAATTCATTAACACAAGGCTAAATATTTTCGCAAGAAATTGATGAAACTACGCTACGCGACTATCCCTCTTCAGAAGAAGCTTGCCATCAGTATGGTCAATCAGAAGCGACAAAGCCATGTATTATAGACGCTCAGGATGGGACCAGTAAATGCCAAACTCCATTTCAATGCGTAGTGGTCTCCGAAACAGAAGAATTGATTCCAAGAGCTCTAGAGCCTTCTATCTATGATGAAGCCAAGAGCCCCCTCGGCCTTGAATCTAAGGAGTCCATTGACCGGCCAAATTGTCGAAAAGAACCTGAACCGGTTCCTCGCGAATTGTTAGGCATGTTTGGCGAAGATATGATAGAAGATCAGATTGTGGAGAAGGCTCAAGAGACGACGATGAAGCAAACGGAAGATACCGTCGAAACTGGAACCGATAGGTCGGAAGCCGCCGTCACGACGAGTACGAGACCTCAGTGTTTTTGCACATGCTCCAAAAGATGGGAGAATTGGAATTTATATCTAAGAGACAAGGAAGATGAGCCAATGAAGTGTTCTTCGCAAAGTTCTAGCGCTGGACGGTCCTCAATTTCAAGCCACACTGATGATTCATTCCTGTGGCACTCAGCTCCTCAAATTGCTATCATCAAACCCGAGGAGTGCCTTTTCTCCGAGCTGAAATCCCCTCCGATCTATCTCGAAGGACTCCGGTTCTCGACGAGTAGGACCAGCGTGGACTGTGAACCCGGTGCCGATAAACAGTTTATCGTCGAAACAACAAATGTTGAAAATGAAGAAATAATCAGGTTGGATGCTGATGGCCTTCCAGAACCAGTCCAGACTACACGCTGCGTCAATTCGCCCCCTGAAGATCGAAAACAAATGTCCCATCCATCCATCCAGGCACTTCAGAACGATCGGCTTCAGAATCAAACAACTGATTCCAATTTTACTGCAATAATTATGAAACCACCGCCGATGAAAAAACGTTCCTTAAGTTGCAAAGGATCAGAGACCAATGATCGACCAGAAACACCGCGTAGATACAGGCGCAGGCGCGACCATTGTATGAGCAAAATGAACGGAAAGGAATGTGAAGACCGAACTCTCTTGTCCCCCGTAGAACTCTCTAGTTCATCGACGCTGGAGGAATCCATAAACAATTCCACATGTCAATCAATCCCATTTGACCTTGCCAGACGAACATCCACGATTATAACGAAATTCGAGTTCTCGATCCTGAGCTTTCCTCAAACGATTTTGCATCGCATACTTGTTGAATTAGATTACCTGGACTTTTTCAGACTCAGTCAAGTCTCGCATGTCCTGAGAACGGGCTTTAGTGTTGGAGAAGTACAGGAAGTGATTCTCAAAGTCTTCTTGGGTGAGCTTGGATACAGTGATTCCCTGCCAAGTAGCTCTCGATCTAGAACAATTACCCACAAATTCCTAAGTCCTAATCCGACGGTCGAGCTCGATGGCGGTGATGTTGTCCTAAAACAAAACGACGGCAGTGTTACTCGGAGATAGTAGGTTTAACTCAGCAGGAGGAGCTATACCCGATCCCTTTCCATCGGCCATGACGCTGGGAAAGCGAAACATGCACACATCAAGTCCGCTCGAAATTAACTTACAAGAGCTTCATGCCTTTCATTATCTTCGACAGGCAGGGGAAAAGAGCTTTCTTGAATTGGCCAACCGACCGACGAGCCACCGGCCAAGTGCTTTGTCAGCCATCCAAGCTTACTGTCGCCTTCATAATAAACTTGTAATTCGGGCTCGCTTGAGGTTCGAAGATCCATCCAATCCAATCCATCTGCAATCCCATCAGTTCCGGAGCAGAAAACCCCATTCCGAGATCTTCTCCCCCGGTAAAGTAGTCGTCTTTCGATTGTGGATTCCGGGTGAAAAGAAGCCAATGTCGAAGGCCGAGTTGCTGAAATGTGAGATAGAGATGTTGAGGTGAGCATTTTTTTATCATTGCTCAAGTTTGGATCATGTTGAGGGAAGCTTTAATATCTGCGGCAGAGAAACGTAGCTTACCTTTCTACTCCCCCTAGTAGATCTGGAATTCAGGCTTTCGCCCGAAGAGGTGATATTTTTTGGAATGCCGCATTGGGCAGTTCTGACAACACCGGAAGACTCATTTACGATGGCCAGCATCTCCAGGAACTACAAGTCTTGTGGGATTCAGTTGGACATCTTCCAGTCAGTAGTTAGATTAATCTCAAAATCAAATAAAACAGACGTTGATCTATTCGATTTTTGTTTTCTTGAAGGACTGGCTCAACATGTTTCTTTTCCCTCCGTCATTTTATCACCATACAATCAAATCCTCAAACTTGAATCCGATATTTTATCTTGACTTGACCGACTTCAAAGAGCAACTGATAAATAGCTTGAGCTTGGTTGATCATCACGAACCTCACGAGACCGCGGAGGACCAAAGCCAGCAGGGAATGCTCAATTATCTAGCCTTGGTTGAAATCCGAGCTGGAACGAAAACAGGCGTGTTAGAAGGAATTGAATGTTTCTCAAATACTCATCACGAGTACATCCTTCCAGAATGTATACATCCGGATTGGGTCGGCAAACTCATGGTTGAGATCCAAGTGAGTTCGCTAGAGAAACTGGATCAACTGCTCTCCAAATTCAACAAAGCCAGACCGGAAGATTTCTTCAGCCTTGGCTTTGATCACGCCTCCTCGCCGGAAGAAACTCGACATCGCACAGTCTCTCGACTCAAATCCGCCCAACTCTCTCCATGGAGAATCATCCGTCAAAAAAGTTCTCCAGGTATGGTTTGGATTCGGTAAGCCCGATCCCCACTGGGTTCTTGTTCCACTCGAACAGCGGCCTATCAGAGAATGAAAATCGTATGACAAGCTTGCTAATGTTTGTCTATGATTTTGCTGAAATTTAGTTTACCCATTCGCGCTTGAAATAATTTTTTTGTTACAAATAAATCATTAGGTATTCATATTCACTAATAAGATCTAGAGCGCACATGTTAGCTTGACATTCTTTGAAGCACAAGATCACACCAGTCTTGGGCTATAAAAAATTAATTATAAGAAATTAATTTTGTGTTTTGAAATGTTTCTCTTCTCATTACATGTATGCATGGTATTGCTCATTTACAACATGGTTTTCTTGGTAGATTTTTGCCGTAATATTGGTGTGTTGTTTGCCTGAATTCCTCACAATGTGATCAAGCAATGTACAATAATGAATGAAATAGTTGTATTCTAAAGGATCTAAAACAATGGCCATGTAAATGATTTATGTATGTCTGCTGATGTAATATTTTGCTCTAGGGAGAGTATTTTCTTTTTCCAATTTGAAATATTGGCAGCAACTGGTGTTGCCCATGGAATTACCCCAATTGAATATCACAAAAACATAGTCTCTTTGTTTGTTTTCCTGCACTTTCACTGTAAAATTCTACAACAATATGTGACCAAACTAGTATTCAGAAGAGATCCACTGGTTCAACTTATAATATTTTCACCAGACTGGAGATGAGTTAGGATGCACCAACAACATATCCAACTATTTGTTTTTTTGTTTTTCAAAATTATTTTGTTGTTTCTAACACATCCTTTACAATGAAAATAATGATGGAAACATTAGGTAGACTTGAGTTGGTTACATCTGTAGGTACAAGCTGGTTTTGAATTCATTGAAATGTGAATCATTACAGCAATCAACATCATGGGCTAAATGTGTCCTGTCATTCAGGTTTTTAGACCTTGTTTCTGTCTTCCATGGGGCTGAAGGCTTCTTGGCCGCTACCAAAATTTTGGAAACTGGTGGTGCCCTCTTCTAAAGCCGCCCACTTGAGCATCACTCGACTGCTGCTCTCATTCTCAAGCATTATTTCATCTGTTATTATTTGACTGTAAAGACCCCTCCGTTCCAGAAGGGATCACATGTCTAAGGATAGAATTGTAGCCAAAAGTACCTCAACTGCCCTAGTTGCTACTGCTAGTGCTACCAAGAGGCCACACCTCCAAAATGACTGGCCATTCCTCGCTCTCTCTTACAATCACCAACTGGGCAACTTACTATACCATGCAGCTCATATGGGCAGATACGGGCCGTTGGAATATGTTTGGATATCCAGTATTCGACAGGACTGTTTTACTAACGTGAAGTCCAGTTTAGGTTGCACATGCATCACACTCATTGTCAACTTTTAGGCCTCGTTTGGCCGTCCACGATCGTTATAGGCCGTCGTCTCAAATCGTTAAATCAGAATCTAGGTTTGATGATTCCAGGCTGTGCAAATGACGCAGCCTGAAAATCCTTCTCAAACTTGCTGTGAGGCCTTATGACGGAAAATTTTGGGGGGACCCAAAATGTTGGAATTGGCAGGGAATATATCTCGCTGACCACTTCCGTCATAAAGAAAGTGGATATGACGTGGCCTCCCAAACACCATCGTGAGGCCCCGTCTTCAGCTGTGCGCCCCCGAAATATTCGCCATGATCGTTTATGACGATCATGGACGGCCAAACGAGGCCTTAGGCATGACCATACCTAATAGATTAAAGGAGCTTTGGTGGGCAGAAACTGAGGTGAAAAATTTAAAGAGTGATCAAGGGCAAGGAGAAAGTTAAGCAGATGTCTCTGGTTGATAAACATGCAGAGCTAAGAAGGAGCTAAAAGACCAAGAAAACCAAAGATACGTTTAAGGATAAACACAGCAAGGGATAAAGATAGACGAAACAAGCGTTCCAACTTCCTGGATTGCAGTAGCATGCTTCCATCCTTCATGCCCTTCTCCTCTTGCCCCTCGACACCATGGAAGTCCAAGAATGCTAGTTTGAGATAAGTTTCTAGATAGGCCTGTCAGTCTGGATGGTTTCGGTTGAAGTCGATGGTGCGATCTACACGAGGATGCCAAGATAGCCACCGAACCAGTTCGAACATCAACTCTTGGAGCGAAACATCACCACACGCCTAAAGATGCTGCAATGGCCCCTTCAACCACAAGCGTCCTCATCAAATTCATAGAGCCAAGCCCCAAATTCACAATGCATGTGTGTAACTCTAGCTTGGAATGTCGTCTTCGTTCATGGCGACACTCTGAAATGATTCGGCGGTCAGCAACCCTTCTCCAAGCAGGAATGTTTACCGGCCAGATACATTCTTCTCTCTCCTTGAATATTTGTATCAGATTCCTCAAACGGCTATTTGCATAGTCAGCTATTCGCGCCATTCTGGTGCTGTTCGAATGAGCTTGATGGTCTACATTGTAACCTTTCTCGAAATTTTCAAAATGCCGCAATATGTATGGCTCTTAAATCCTTGGCACACTGCACCTGCCTTGATGAATCATCGGCTTCGATTTCTGACAGTGTTCTTCATTCTTCTTCTTGGAATCCAGTCGAAACCGGTGGAGGGGTGACAGAACCGGGAAACAAGGTGCGGGGCAGCTTATGGATGGGCCTTCGATTGATAATCACAAGTAAACTTGTTTCTATGTTCTTGTGTATTGTCTGTTTACCCCCTGAGTTATGCCCGACTATAGGACTACTATTATAAGCTTTCAAGTCGCTAAGCCGAGGGCTAACAAGCCAACTCCATTCGCTTCGCCCATGAGGCATCTTGAAAATAGGCTTTGTACGCGGAGGCCTATGTATTTTGTGCCCCTTGCCCCAGAGTCGCGTCGTGATAAAAATGTTTGGCAGACGGCAGTAAATATGTAGGAGTGCTAATGGACCCCATCATGAGACGATTCGCTTGCTGATTTCATCGATTCCTTCGAATCCGGGCGCTGATGACCAAGCTCAGCACTGTTGGAGGCTACATAGTGGAGGCCACACAAATCATTATCGGGATGGTTGCGACAGACTTCGATACATAGAAGCTTCGAACTGCTGACCAATTTTGGCATTACGATACATCTTCTACATTGCTCTGTCACAGCAGACCTGCTGTTTCCTCCAAGATCGCGGTACATAGACCAAACGGCGTTGGGGACGGGACAAGCGCACAAGAAATCACTTTTGG